TATATTTTAGATGACTCATCTGTAAAAGATTTAGTCACTCAGTCATGTCCAGCTCCATGGACTGTAGCCTGCCAGGCTCCTCTGTCCATGGAATTCTCCTTCAGGCAAGAATACTGGAGTAGGTAGCCATTCTCTTCTCCAGGGAATGTTCCCAGCCCAGGGATTGAACCTGGGTCTTCTTCATTGCAGGCAGATTCTTTACTGTCTGAGCCACAGGGAAGCTCCACCTGTAAAAGGAGGGTAATAAAACCTCCAAGAATTGTTGGGTGCCAAATGAGACAGGACCACGAAAGCCTGTCTACAGACTTGCTATAGACCATGTGGTCTTGCTTAGAGGCTAATCATCATATCCAGTCCCCGAGAGTCCTGTGTGCTGCTTCAACAGTTCTCAGGGTGACAGGGGTATCCCAGGTCCCAGCATCCTGCTTTGTAGCCCCTTCATCCTCCTCCCTGTCTCCTTCCCGAGGATCACTTTCCTTTGCTCCACATCAGCTGCTCTCCCCAAGTCCATTCCAAAGATTCTGTTAGAAATAAAGGCAGAACAGTCCTGCTTTTGATGAGATACAAACAAGGGTAATATCTGGTTTTCACTGAAGAATAAGTGACTAAATCAGTCCTGAAATGTAAGTGCAGCCATTACATTTAAAACATCATTACCCCTTTATTATGAGGGATAATATTCAATCCTGGGCCACTCTCCACCTCTCCCGTTATGCCCTAGTTGTTCTGCGTACACTTGTTGATTCATAATCATTAAGTCATTTTATTTTCTGTGTCGTAGGTACTTGAGCACCTACTATGTGGACTTCAAGTGCTAACCAGATTTATAAGTGTGATGAACAAAAATACACAGCCTTGTTAACCTGCGTGTTGACAGAAGTGTTCAATAAATATTTCCTGAAGGAAAGAATGAACACATGTGTGTGCGCACACACACGTCTCTCCTTTAGACATCTGTGCATTTAGAAATACGTTTTTCTCTTCCCTCACTTGCTTATCTGGTCCTCGACAACTCACTCCTCCATGGCTAAATCAGTCTGCCATTTTCTGTGAAAACTTTCCTGATTATTTCAAGCAAAGCTCTATCTCCATCCCATGAGTACTGACAACTCCATTCACAGCTGTGTCTCAGCATGTGTCAGTTCATTTCATGAGTCTGGTTTCACCACCAGACTGTGAACACCTCAGGGACAAGGACACATCTTCTTCATCTTTGAATCCTCAGGAAACAGAACATCATGCAGCACAGAACAAGCATCCACTTCAGTCTTTCCTAACCACATGGTAACCAGTGGTTACCCTGCCAACATTCTACCCACGAGACAGTCCTAGTGGTAACGCCACCCCTAGGAAAGCTCATTGAAATGAAAATGAATAACGATGACAGTAAAACAGAGATAATACTGAATCTGCTCTAATACATACAAAAGGAAATCATTTATAAACTTTGAGATTGCTATGGTCTGTTTATGTGCACTCAAATTTCATATGCTGAAATTCTGATGGCATTAATATTAGAAGGTGGGACTTTTGGAAGGTGATTAGGTCATGAGGGTGGAGCCCTGAGACATGGGATTAGTGCCCTTATAAAAGAGGCCTAGAAAACATCCTTCCCCTCTCCCACCATGAGAGGACACAGCAAAAAGGCACTATCTATGAGAAAGTGGGCTCTCACCAGATACCAAATCCTGGGGCCAGGATCCTGGACTTTACTGCCTCTAGAACTGTGAAATAAATGTTTGTTGCTTATAAGCCACCAAGTTTATGTTTCTGTTTTAGGAGTCCAAATACTAGAAAAACATGTAATTATTAGTTGTATCTTACTAGCACCAAGGACTCTGGACAAGACTACCTGGGTTTGAATCTCAGCTCTGCCATTTGAGAACTGTATAATTAAATTGTTTGGGCCTCAGTGTTCTCACCTGTAAAATAGTGTTAATAATAGCACTTCATAGAATTGCTGTAATGTACATAATATGCATAAAATGGTGCACATAATAGTGACAAATCAGTGCCAGCTAAACTAAGTGAACAAGCAAAATCCATTTGTGACTGGCAACAGAATGTGGTATTATCTTGAAAAGTTGAATCAGACCACTACCCTCTATCCCAAGAAACAGACTTAACTTTAGGCTCCCACAATACTTATGATTTTTAATGGCACAAATTGAGGAGAGAAGAAAGCTAGTGAGTTTCCTTGGAAAGACATAGGATTTGGGATTGGAAGGTCTGATTTGAGTTTCCAGTCAAATCAGGAATAATCCCAGAATTTCAGTTTTCTTATTTGTGAAATGAAGATGACATCATTCCTGCATTGGTTTCCACTGGTCTGCTTTGAGGACCTAGTAACATACTGACATGAAACCATTTCTGCTCCTAATTTGCTATTGTTCCTACTATTACTAGTAACTGAGCTCACTTATGACATTTTCTGCATTCTCACTGATACTTTTGATATATTAGCAATACCTAGATATCTGAACATATGGACAGATTTTGATATTGATTTATTTCCTGCAACATACTACTAATAAAATTTATTCACATAAGGATTGGGATCAAGAACCCCTTTGAAATTCAAGACAAGGTGTAAATTGCTGCAAAGGGTCTCCTTAATTGGGATCAAAACATTTTTGACAGCTTTTGGATTTTTAAAATTCTAGCTATTGTCACGTTCTGCTAATGTTTCTTTTCTTGGTTTTGAAAAAACAGCACAGCCAAGCTTGAACAGGAATACTTCTGACATGATAAACAACTAAAATTTGTCATTCCAAATGAAAAAGACCCAGTTTTCCACTTCTTTGATAAGTAGGACAAAACAGCACTGAGACTCTTATTCTGCAAAATTCAGTTGAGTCCCTGTTGGGCAATGACAACAGTTTAGTAAACTGTTCATGCTCACAACCTCCAATGGAGGTTCTGAAAAAACCTCCAGTTATCTGAAGATAAGTTACATCCAATAGGGATGGATTTAAAGGAGAAACAGACTATTTAAACTAGTCTGGGGAATCAACCAAGATGTAGCTTTGGTCAACACCTCATCTTCTACTTGACTTCCTTCCACAATATCTCCATCATATGACTGTTGCTTGAATCCTCCGAGGGATGGTGTAGTCACTTGCACAGAAGGTGGTCCATCTCAAGGCTGAACAGTTCTGACTTGTGGGAGACTCTTCTTCCTCATAAACTGAAACTGCTTCCTAGAAACTTCTATCATCAAGTCTTTGCTCTGTTCCCTGAGTCACACAAAACAATGAACGAGTCTTTGGAGAGATCAACACTACTAATACAGAGTGCCTTGCCCCACACTCATCCCTACTTCAGGCTTAAACATTCAGCCCTCTCTACCAGTCTTCCCTAGACTTGTGTTAAGACAAATTAACAGGCTATGGATGCAAAATCCCTAAGGTAAGAGCCTACGTGAGTCAGCAGACTAAGTCAGACAGGTAACATTTAATTCTGCCTTCATTCTGAATCCCCACTAGGATACGACATTTTTTTTCCCACAAAGCCAAATGGCTTTGAGCCGAAATGATGATTTTTCAGGTATTTTTTTGTGTGTGTCCAAAGAAAGAATCAAAAATCACATTTCAAGGTTTGGTGGTATCTTTCTTTGGGGCCAGCTTAGCCACCCTTGAGTGAGAATTTATATAAAAGTAAAGAATATAAATTACTTCTACTCACTAGCTAAAGTTTGGTGATTAGGACTATTTGATGGTGGGGTACATGATGGAATAGCAGGACCCCAAAACACAAGAATAAAAAGTAAGATAGACAAGATAAAGTATCTGATACTCTATCCTGTCATTCCTGTCCCTTTGGTGATGCCAGTGTCACGGTAATAGGCAGGTGTGGACTTGGGAAGAGACTAGAGATGATGACATATATTGGGGTATATGAATCCTTGTGAAAGTATCTCTCAGTTAGGCATGATCCACATTACTTGGTTCCCTCCCATGAAGGATGATAAAGGATGAATAATATCCTCCAAGTTTCTACAATTCCAAAGCTCTCTGCCCCCCGTGTGTCACCCAGGATCCCACGAGGCCATAATGTGTCTGTGCTATTACTAATCAGGAGTGACTTCTCTTCAAGAAAATATTTTACTATTAAATTATCATCCTACTAACCATATGGTCTCTTAATATGAGTCAGAACAAAGGGGGAAATTTTGTAATGCAAAATGACAAGGTTAAGTAGCTTGGCTAATTGAGTATTGTTTATACATTGCTTGATAAACTACCTGTGAAGTTTATAGGAGGTGATATAAGTGGAAGTATGTTAGAAGCTATAAAGCACTGAGTGAATAAAAGAAAATCGTGTCCATCTGACTCTTGCTCTCTGGACAAAACAGATCATAAAAAGCTCTTCTCTTTTTCCCATACCATCAGCAAATAGGGTCAACAACGCTAGCCAAGTCCTGGGGATAAACCTGGGAGTTAACTGCTGCCAGGAGGTGGACGGAGACACAAACCACATCTGCAGTGGGTTCAACACATAGATCAGCCCTTACATTTCCTCATCATGCAGTGATGGATTTTTTTTTTTTAACATTGAAAACTCCATTTATTCTTTTTGACGACAGCAATTGCAAGGTGCCACAGGTTCAATTCAAGAGAGTCTGGATGCTTTGACCAAGTCAAAAGACCCCCGTACCTCCCTCTAGGATGCATGTCATTAAAGTTGCCAACACACAAGGAAATTTAACTTAAACTGTCACATTACCCACTGCTCTTCAAAGCACATCAATCTCCCATTGCATTACCAGGACTGTGTGACACTTTTATCCCAATTATACTGTAAGAAACACGGTGCAGTCATACTGTGCCCAAGTCAGGGAAGAGCCTCCCTTTGATGAACGATCACAGCTGATCAAGTTTGTCAGTTGCTTTATGTGTTTTTATGCTTGTTTGATATTCCTGCCCAGAAGAGTAGAGGCTTTTAAGGGCACATCTGTCAATGGATTCAATTTCACCATGCCATGTGATTCTTTTACTTACCCCTGTCTTCTCATCAAAGATTTTGATTCCTCCAAAGGAGATGGTTAAAAAGATTTTCTGTTTGTGTTCTCCTTTGGAACGAGCGCCAGCAACAACGCCCTGTTGAAAGGAAGGATGTGGTTTTTACTTTAGTGTTTTCATTTGAAAATTCCCTCTGGTCCCAAAGGCATGTCAGATACCATGAACCAATGCCACCAATCACGCACACTCTTTTCCCTCCCCACTTCCATACTATCTTTCCCAATGGGCTTGCATCCTCTTGATGTTTTAGGGTAACACTTGTCCTCACTGCTCAAAAACTGTATAAACAAATATCTGAACTTAGATTCATTGGGCAAACCAAGATTTACAGACTGCCTACTTTGTGCCTAGACAGTCGGCTCAGAATTTGAGATCCCAGGATAAACACAATATGGTTCTCTTGTTAAGATCTTTTCTGGGTTTTGTATTAGATATGGTTTTAACCTTTTAAATAAAGATGAGTCATGGGATATGTTCCTAAATGTGATTTTAATTTCATACTTCTGGAAAAACTTTTCATATGAATTAATTATAGAGATTAAAAAGAAAAGAAAAAATATTGCCAGACTGCATGTCTCAAGTCTGTTTAGAAAAATGTGATTGTCATCTGCCTATGGCTTGAGTTTTTACCCATACATTTTGTATGTTCTTCTACCATTTTCCCAATCATTCTTGTGCTTTCAAGAAAAGCAACTACCAAGAGCTTCTATTTCTCAAAAACCTGTTTCCCCACTTTTCCAATCTTTTTTTAAATGTACTGAAGATATGCGTATAAGTCAATCAGAAGGTAAATGGTACAAAAGGTGGGTATGTTACTCTGCTCGCTACTCTCTCTCGAGTACCTAGGGCAGTCCCTGGAGGGTGGGGGGCACTCAAGAAATTATCATGACATGAATGTGCTATCAAGAGTTCCCTCAAAAAAGTTGGTATGATGCAAGTTAAGAGTAAAAACACTTGCTTCTTAAATTAGCCTCTGTGGTGGCCGATTATAGGCAAGTATGGGCTTCCCTGTGGCTCAGCTGGTAAAGAATCTGCCTGCAATGCGGGAGACATGGGTTTGATCCCTGGGTTGGGAAGATCCCCTGGAGAAGAGAAAGGCTACCCACTCCAGTATTCTGGCCTGGAGAATTCCACGGACTGTATAGTCCGAAGGGCTGCAAAGTCAGACACGACTGAGAGGCTTTCACTTTCACTTTACTTTTCATGGGCATAATACTAGGGTATAACTGAGAGGATGAGGACATTCAAGGGTATTATGCTCTAGGACTGTTGCAGACTCCGCATTAGGTGTTTTGAGGCTTCCAACCCCTTCATCCCCACGAGCTTCCACAGAGGGAGAGAATAAGCCCATCTTTCACCAGTAATCACTCTGGGCTTTTATCAGAGTAGAAAAGTCTAAAATAATAATGATTTCAGATTCCCAAGAGAAAAAAGTCCTTTGTGTTGTTCTCAGCACAGCATGTTCTGGAATAGAGTCAGAGGTATGACCAGCATAAGGAAGAGGCATTCTCTTAAGGTTGTATGATTATCCTCACTTTGGGCACTGGAAATATTCTATGCAATCGAAACATCTGGATTATACTTCTGGCTGTGATCTTGGACAAATGACTTAATTCCTTGCTCTGCTTCCTTGAGTGTAAATACTTCTCCGGCATGTTTGAGAGAATGAAATGAAAACGTATGGAAAGAATCTAGCACAATGCGTGGTACACTGTAGGATGTCACAACCAACGCTAGCACTTGTGGTCCAGCTCCTGTTTGGGAACTAGAACAGGAAATGCACTGCCTCAGGAGTCACCCATTCATCCTCAGGCACCTCTGACATACCGATACACAGAATGTTAGAGTCACAGGAAACCTTCGAAGTAATCAGTCCAAATTTCCAAACTGACAGCTGAGAAAAATGATGTTTGATAAGCTGGGTAGACAGTTCCAAGATGGTACAGAGAACTGGTTAGAAAGCTGAGACCACACATCCACTTTCAAGACTCTTGGTGCAAGAGTCATTACTTCTTTGCATATCTCTTCTTTCTAATAAGCCCAGATTTCTTTCCTGTAATCCTACCTGGTGTTCCTCTTTTGACCTTTAGGGATGTACCCACTGACGTAGGATCCCTCCTCCAACGCCTGTCCTTTACATAGTTACAGGGTGACTTACTCCCAAAGCGAAGCCCTCTGTCTCTTTAACCCCTCCTCCTGTTCAAACGTCTCTAGATTCCTCAATGTGCTGCTTGCTTTCCCATAAATTCAATGAGAGATGGTTTCATGGACATGGGAGAAGGCTCAGAGTATGTCTTTGCAATCCCAGGGGTAGTTCTTATTTCTCTTCAGTGTCATCCAAGCAAAGATGCTATCTCTGACCCCTCCACCCTCCACTCCAAACTGCATCTGATCTTTCTCCCTGCATCTTTTTCCCTTATGCTACCCTCTGGTATACTGTATATTCATTTGTTGACTGTCTGCCTTTGCCCAATAGGACAAAATCTCAGCGGGCTCAATGGGAACTTTGTTTTATTCATTCTGCATGCCCAGTGTCAAGAATAGAGACTGGAATAAAAAAGGCACTCAAACAAGTGAACTGACTTTCCCCTCACTCGAGTAGTGAACAATCTAGGTTTTGAATCTATGAAAACCTTGACTTTGAAATCTGTGTTCCTAGTTTGATTTGGAGAAAAGTAACTGATGCTGCCATCCCTCTGCAGCCTGACCTTCAACTTCAGGATCCAGACATATGCAAAAGAGAGAACAAGAAGTAGTCCTGTTATAAATGGAGGCATTGGAAGGACTGTGGCAATGGGTAGGGAGCCTCTCTTTCTTGCTTGAGTCCTTCCAACATGAAGACATCACAGTTCCTTTGGTCAAAAAGAGTAGCTTCAATGACCCCATCTCCAAAACAGTCCTAACAACCCCCAGCTCTTGGAATTACCTAACATCAAACAGCACTAATTCCCAACACACAGTGATGCTGACTAGCTAATAATGCTCCCCTTCACTTCCTGTTCCAAATGGTTCCAAGAATTCCCTGGCAGAATGTGGCTGCAGATAAAGAGGGATGGAAAGAGCATGTTTGAGAGCATTTCTGCTTAGGACTGCTGGTGATACACCTTCCCAAATAAAAGGACAAATACAAGAGAGAAGGATGATGCACATGGTATGATCTTTGGGAAAAATAAACTCCAATTTTACCAAGCACATTTCTCCTGTGAGACACAACCTTGAGTCAAGCCCTGAAAAACTACTCGAAGTCCAGGCAAATCTGCCACCAGACAGCCTGTCACAGGGTCACACCTCCCCGTGGTGTTTTGCAGAACCAACAGAAGATCAGGTGACAAGGATGGTTGGAGAATTAGAAGATACGGATATAGGTATCTTTGGGGGGTTTAATATTAGCAACCTGGCCTACAAAGTCATTGTTGGGAACCTGAAAATGAGAGGTTTTTCTAATGAGAGTGTTTTTCCAAAACACTCTCCAGGTGTTTTCCAGGTACCTACCAAATGGAAGGAGTTCTCTTACATGTTATATAATTTAGCTCATCCCACAATCCTAGGAAGGAAGAATTACCTCCTTTATTTTACACATGACAAAATATAAGCTCAGGGGGTCAAGTGACTGCCTCAAACCTCACAGAACTAAGACATAGAAGGAATTTCAACAGCCATCTTTTGAATTTCAATGTTAGGGTTCCTTCCTATGGAAGGGTTCTATGGGGCAGCATTGATTAAAAAAGATGGAAACCCCGGTGTCCAGACACAGTAGTGAAGGAGAACTCCAAATGAGACTAACTCATACTTTTAACAAGAGCAAACCAGGCACATACTGCACATGGCACAGGGCAGAGCATGCAGGGAGAGCTCAGCAAACTTGACTGACCATCACCACTGGTACCAATCCTGAGACTGTGAAGCAACGTCATGCATCAGGCACTGTGTGGAATGACTGATGCAGGCATCTCTGAGGGAGTCACACTGAGGCAGCATCTTATTGGAGGAACGTATACACACAGACGGGGTCAGGCACAGAGGCAGGATTGCCATGAGAGTCCAATCAGATGCTGCCCAGGAAGGAACTGAGACCTCACACAGCAGGGTGCATGCCCGTGATGGGATGACTGTTCCCCTCCAGGGAACAGGTCAAGCAGGTGAGCCCACACAACAGGCTGCAGGCCGAGCATAAGTCTAGAATGCTATTCCAGAAAGCTCCATGAACAGCGCTAGGAATTAAATCAGCTGTACAGTCTCTGGGGGAAAACTCATCATAAGTTTCACTTTTTCCCAGTTAAGAAGGGGATAGAGATATCTTCCTCGCTTTAACCCAGAGACTGGCCCCTAAGCTCTGCATTCAGGTCCTCTGAGCATCCCGTCCCTTGGATTCCACCAAGGAAAGCACAGACAGGAGGTCAGAGCGGCGGAAAGAGAGAGGTCCAGGTATTTCTTTCTGCTTTCTTCCCATCCCTGTTCTACAATCTCCAGCAGCAGCTATATTTTTGCAAGGCGAGGAGACTTCCTTCTCAACCCCACCCTCCCTGGGTTCCGGTTAATATATCTCTCCTTGGGATGGGAACAGCTTCTCACTATTTCTAGTTTTTGCTACCTTAACCTGGCCTACCCTGCACGAGCTGCTCTTTCATTAAAGTGTCCTCATCTGACCTAGCAGGGGTGACTATTTCCTACAGGACCTTGACTAAGAGATTCACCTTGGGCTCTGCAATCAGTCTTCCAGGCACTGTCTTTATGAGACACCATTTTGCCCGATACCTCTGAGAGGTGAATACTTCGTAAGTTAATGATGTGGGGCTACTGAGTAGGAGCTTATGTGTAGGGGTTTAAAAATCTAGCTGGGCAACCAAGATAGATTTCAGTGCAGATACAAAACCAAATAGAAGGAAGCACTTAGCAATATCCTATCAAACATGAGACATCTGGAGATCTTGGTTTGAATTCTGGGCTTAATCCATATTAAAATGAAGGCTCTGGGGCAAATCCTATAACTTCCATGAACCTCAGATTTCTTACTTACAAACAAGGAGGCTAAAAGCTACCTCACAAGATCAAAAGAGATAATATATATAAAAGTGCTGGTGACTAAACTAAAATACAATGACAATGAGGCTTCGCTGGTGGACAGGCAATGGCTCACACAAACTCACATTTACGAATCCCCTCTTAAATCTCTATAACCCAAGAGAAAAACCTCTACATTAGGAACCAGCGTCAGAGAGTCTAGCAAAGAAAAACAGAATTTTTTTCTTTTTTAATTTCTCATATGGCCTGACATGAACAAGTGGGCCTTTTTGCAAGGCTAACAGACATTTTTACTTCTTTGTCTTTCTTTCCTGGGCAGGAGGCCAAATGGAGAATCGATCATTTATGTTTCTGTGCTTCCTAAAGAAACACCACGGGGAGCGGAAATGTCAACATTCTTCTCTGCAACTTGCAAATAATAAAAGACAGTTGTCTGGAAACCAAGAACCCTCTACAAGTTCAGAGCATCTGGCAGGAGTGTGTTATGGTCAGACCAAGCCTCAGGGGTTTGGGGACCACTTGGTTACAAGGGGTGACAGGTGGGACACTTTACTGCAGGTAACCAAGACAGACAGACAGACAGACAGACAGACAGACACACACACACACACACACACACACACACACACACACACACAGGAGCTTAGCAATCATCACCAGGCTGGTCCAGCTGGCCTGTGTGAATGTTAATCTTTAGGGAGAATTTCAGGGCATACAAGTCAACTCCTGCCTCACACCCACGGATACGTCTATGCTTCTATGAAGGCAGATGGCTGATGAGGTGCTCTGTGACCCGTGCCTGGTGAATGCTATCCATCAGGATGCTGGGTGAGGATGCATCAGCCTTTTTCTTGTCCTCAGCAGACTTGTAGCTCTGGGTGGGAACCAGTCACTGGAGATTATCTTGATGTTTTTTAATTCATACTTGTCAAAAGCACATCTCCACCTGCCTGGCCTCATACTCAGTAAGACCAACTTCACCAAGAATTAAGGTCCTGGCCTTTATCCCCATCCTTGATTAGAGTCTCCATGGGGAAACAGGCATGGCACAGTCTCCTCTGGGTTCTCTCTCTGAAATCCACCTGCTGGTAGAGAGGGTGAGTTCTGAAGTGATCTCATACATGGGTCACAGGGCTTTAGGACAGTGGGGGTGAACAGGGAAGGCTGTAGTTAGCTTATTGTCCCACAGACCCACTGGAACAGCCTGTCTCCCTCCAGGATGCCTTGTGGCTGTGTACCTGTATCATGTCTTCCAGACCAGCATTTATCAGTCATAAAGCTGAAATTTAGAATTCTTCCTGTTGGACTCCTTTGTCTACTTATCACCCAGATTTTAATTTGGCAGAATAAGGGGGCCCATTATTAGACTGTCCTAAAATCTCATAACATCGTTTAATTATTCTTTTCATAAAAAGATACATTAACCTCTTCCAAGGAGGCAATCTGTGAACTTGTGATTTTAACATCTTTTATACATTTTCTGGTATGCCTTCTGGTAGATTTATAACTATTAAAATAAAATTTGCTATGTAACAGCTTAAAAAAATAAAAAGAAAGTAATGGATACACAGTTTAGAAAATTAAGAGTTTTTAAAAAGAATGGTTCTTATAGCTAGACTGCAAGGAGTCTTAGAATCTGATACACATGTTAAAATAAACCATTGAGAAAATGTGTGCAATATAAACAAAGATAATAACTGTGCCTTATTAAGCATTTGTCAAAGAAAAGGCAAAGAAGTCATTTTATAAGACATTGTCCTATATAATATTACTAGGAACTTGGCCAGCCTTTTTTTCCTTCCCTTTTTCTTATATTAAAAAAATTATATTGACCAAGTTGTATCCTCAGGGACTATTAGAAAAGATGAAAAAAATGTACATGATGTATATTAGGTAAGGAAGAAAACAAGATATGAAGCTATAAATGGTCATTCCAATTACACTACATACATGCATATGATTCACAAAAAATACAAAAATGTATATAAAAATACATAGATTGTTAATAACACAAAAATCTTGATACTGATTTTCTTTGTGTAGTGTGATTGTAAGTTAATTTTCCCTCTTACACTTTTCTGTATTTCCAAACTTTTTACAGAGCATTGTTTTGAATTCTATAACAAAAAATTAAATTATAGATCTTAAATGTATATGATACTTAGAGATTTCCTGTTAAATAATTTTTCTAATATTTTATATTACTTAAAAAAAATAAGCATAGACTACATGGAGACTGGAATCTGGGAACAGACAATACATGATTTTGTATGTTTTTAAAGGCTACTTAATAATATAATTTTCTTATTTTGTATATTAAAATTTTTCCCAAGTTCTTAGATTTCTCAAAGAAAAGGCTTCTTTAAAGCATTTAAAATCAGAAATCTCTTTTTGCTATCTCCAAATACCAATATTACACATCATTTAAAAAATAATTTCCCTTTATTATAAGGTATGTGGGGAATATTAATAAAAATTACAAGGAGACCCACCTCCAAGAATAATGGAAATGAAAGCAAAAATAAACAAATGGGACCTAATTAAACTTAAAAGCTTCTGCACAACAAAGGAAACTACAAGCAAGGGGAAAAGACAGGCTTCAGAATGGGAGAAAATAATAGAAAATGAAGCAACTGACAAAGAATTAATCTCAAAAATACACAAGCAGCTCAATACCAGAAAAATAAATGACCCAATCAAAAAATGGGTCAAAGAACTAAACAGACATTTCTCCAAAGAAGACATACAGATGGCTAACAAACACATGAAAAAATGCTCAACATCACTCATTATCAGAGAAATGCAAATTAAAACCACAATGAGATACCATCTCACACTGGTCAGAATGTCTGCTATCAAAAAAGTCTACAAACAATAAATGCTGGAGAGGGTGTAGAGGAAAGGGAACCCTCTTACACTGTTTGTGGGAATGCAAACTAGTACAGCCACTATGGAGAACAGTGTGGAGATTCCTTAAAAAACTGGAAATAGAACTGCCATATGACCCAGCAGTCCCACTGCTGGGCATACACACCGAGGAAACCAGAATTGAAAGAGACACATGTACCCCAATGTTCATCGCGGCACTGTTCACAATAGGCGGGACATGAAAGCAACCTAGATGTCTATCAGCAGACATGGATAAGAAAGCTATGGTACATATACACAATGGAATATTACTCAGCTATTGAAAAGAATGCATTTGAATCAGTTCTAATGAGGTAACTGAAACTGGAATCTGTTATACAGAGTGAAGTAAGTCAGAAAGAAAAACACTAATACAGTATATTAATGCATATATATGGAATTTAGAAAGATGGTAACGATGACCCTATATGTGAGACAGCAAAAGAGACACAGATGTAAAGAACAGACTTTTGGACTCTGTGGGAGAAGGCAAGGGTGGGATGATTTGAGAGAATAGCACTGAAACATGTATATTATCATATGTGAAACAGATCGCCAGTCCAGGTTCGGTGCATGAGACAGGGTTCTCAGGGCTGGTGCACTGGGATGACCCCGAGGGTGGGATGGGGAGGGAGGGGGGAGGGAGGTTCAGGATGGGGAACACATGTACACCCATGGCTGATTCATGTCAGCGTATGGCAAAAAGCACTACAACATTATAAGGTAATTAGACTCCAATTAAAATTTTAAAAAATTTTAAACAATTACAAGGATGAATAAAATCATTTTATTAACATAAAATCTTTTACTGTATTCATCATATGGTAGAATATAGAAAAGCTGTTAAAAAATAAAGTAGAAAAATCTATGTAATCTCAGTGACTGTAGGATTTGATGATTTTGTACTTTTATTTTTGTTGAAGCCACACAATGAAGACACAATTGAATAAAATATGATATGTTTTTATTATATCAATAACTGCAAAATAGGGAGTAGCGAAACACATCCACATAGGAGATGCTTAATAAATATTTGCTAAATGAGTGACATATCCTCCTAATATATAAATGCAGTGAGTCATCAGTATACTAAGTAGTATACCAGTATGTGAATAAATAAAAATATGTTTACCAGAGTGATTGTAATCATTTTTCCCTCTCGGTCATATCAAATGTACAGTTTAAAATAAAATGTTGGCACAGTACCTTGAGCTTCATCATCGAGTCTTGGCATAGCTTGTCTCCCCGAGCTGCGGCAACCTCATCAATTCCAATCAGTTTGGCCTTGTACCGGACCCCTTCACCTTTAAACCTCTTTATCAAAGTGGCTTCACTGCGATCCTGACCTAAAAAGAAAGAAAAGCAGGATTCGCATATGTAGGTATTCAGGTCCCACTGACTTTAAATATCCACAGTTCCAAGACTGGTTCTCTGGTTTACCTAAATTCAAGGAAAGTCAAATCATTGGATCACGTACAAAAGAATGATGACACTCCTGGATGCAAATTCTGGCTCTATCCTTCCAAATCCTCAGGCAGATTACATAATTTTCTTTAAAATTGTGTTTTCTCAGGCAGAAACAAAGAAAACTATTAAAAGTAACCAACCACAAAGTGGCATTAAGATAAAAAAAGCCAGATGACACATGTAAAATACCCAATATGGAGTCTGAGGCACACTAGATTGTCAACAAATGATCATTACGCACTACAAGTTTACGTCTGACACTCTTGTTAAAATAATATATTAGCCCTGAGTCTCTCTGGTATTTCCAGCATTTAAAATGACTTTGGCCGGGGTCCAAGACCCTCCTTACACCCAATTCTATGGGCCGTTTTATAACAAGGCTCCAGAGTAATTGTTTTCTATCAAGTAATGACCCAGGGTCAATTATCAAAGAATGGTTTTACAATATCTCTTCTGCTAACTCATGTGTGTACAGAAATAAGCTTACACACTCCTTGGTATGGTGCCCCCACACCTTGCAGTGGGATTTCCCAGTAATTATTAGCATAATATTTTGCTAAGACACATCAACCAGAAGTTCAAACACATCCACATAAAATAAAGACAGTAAAGTTATTGTGAACAGAGTATGTGTTTCTTGTGAGATGTTTTATAAACTTTATTCCCACTCTTCACAGCTCAACCATATCCAGCTCCCAGATGAAGGTCACAGAATTCAAATAGCTTGTCCATATTCACACAGTCAGAAGAAACAGAATATATAGGAATTCAAATCTCTAACTTCATCAAATGTCCATCAGAGGAGTCACAGGTTGGGGCATTGCTCATGTGGTTCTTTTTTCTTTTTTTTTTTTTTGGGGGGGGGTCACATATGGGATCTTAGTTCCCTGATCAGGGATCAAACCTGTGCCCCCTGCACAGAGTCTCAACCACTGGACCAGTAGGGAAGTCCCAATCATGCAGTCCTTAAGCCTGGAAGGCCGTAGACTTCTGATACTCATCTCCTGGAACATCATGAACTTCAGCTTCTGGTACCTCCTCCATCATGCCTTCTTTTATCAGCTGAAAATTTAGAGCTGAGGATATCAGAGATAATTCAGCCGATTTCTCTCTACCTACATGATGCACATATTGAGGCCCTTCCATTAAGTGGAGCTGAGAATTATTTGAGGACATACTTAAAACAGAAAAAAACAAAAAAACAGTAATAGCTAACCACTGTGTGATGCTCTTCTATTGACAGAACATGGCATGCATTTCATTCATTTATTCATTCATCCCTTACTGAGCATCATCTCTGTGCCAGATGCTATTACTCACTGGCAATAAATGAATGAGACAGTCTATGCCCCTAGAGGTTTAAGTTTTTGATGACTGCAAACAAAAATGTGCAGTGTGTTATGCTAGGTATATAAGAAGGCAGAAGCTTTACAGCCAGACATCCTCATGTCAAATCATGGCTCTCACTTATAAGTCAACTAAACTGTCTGCTGAGTCTCCATCTCCTAACTATTGAATGAAGATTAAATATTCTCTTTCAGAGTTATTATGAACAGTAACTTACATGAGATAGCACGTGAAAAGCATGGATTCATATGGTAAGTTCTCTATACACGGTAGCTGCCGCCCCTGTTATCAGCTCAGTAAAAGAAGCATCTAGAAGATACAATTCTGAGAGCAGGAGAGCACAGAGAAGGGGTATCCGCAGAGTTAGTCCTGCACCTGTCGTCCACAAATCCCACTTGATATTTTTTCCACCACACTCTTGCTGACTCCTGGTATATTGACGTCTCTGAATTAATTCCATTAAGCAAATATAACACATAGATGATTTGTCTGAATGTGTAATCAATGTAAAAATTAAGCCTCTGGGATCAGTAAGGGCAGATGTCAGAGACTAAAGCTAAGAACAAAAAGAATAACATTTGCCATGATACACCCTTTACTGACATCTAGCTGTGGGCACTGCAGGTTACCTTTCCCCGCATTGTTAAACAATATTCAGTAGGTGTGGCCTATGCTTTGATCTATTTCTTGGGAAGTTTATCTTACTCTTTCTTCAATTCCTGACACTATTTCAATCACTAATGACATTTCTTTGACTATCTGGAACTTCCTCTAATGTTTAACTATAATGACAATACCAGGGAGTATTTATCATGTTAAGTACAGCACATTATATGCATCAATTTGTTTAGTCCTTAAAATAATCCTAGAGATAGGTACTGTTACTCAGATCTTATAGACGAGGATCTAAATTGAAGGTCTGAGAGGCCAAGTAACTTGTACAAACTCACTGAGTGGGACCTGCACCCAGATCTGTCTGATGCCAGAGCCCGTGCTTGTGGTTTGCTTATGTTCTGTGTCTTCAAGCTTGTTCCCTTAATTATAATGGTTAATTGTTTCTCATCTATCCGACTTCCCTATAAAAGTGTCAGTCACTCAGTCATGTCCAACTCTTTGTGACCCTATGGACTGTAGCCTGCCAGGCTCCTCTGTCCATGGAATTCTCCAAGCAAGAACACTGCAGTGCGTAGCCATTCCCTTCTCCAGGGGATCTTCCCAAACCAGGGATCAAATCTGGGTCTCCCACACTGCAGACAGATTCTTTACCATCTGAGTCACCATGGGAAGCCCTTGAGATGATACTTATACAAAAACTCACCTCGCCCCAAATCTGTTGATCTTTAATACACTTGCAGCATTAAAATGCCACTGCGAAGATGGCTTGAAAATGGAACATACACATTCCAGACTCCAGGTCATTTCCCAAAAATGTCCATAAGTCAGATACAAAGACAGCCTTAAGAAATATTTGTCAGGGCACAGAGCTCTGCTGAGGAGCACACTTTGTAAAAGGAGGCAGAGCGAGATCAGGTGAATGAGGGCAGAGATTAATAAGAAAATATTAGGCCATTTAGAGGAAAGTAGAGAGTCCAATTTAGATTAGGACCCAGGGCCAAGCTAATTTGTATGAAGGGCACTTATGCAGTAGAGAATCCAGTTTCTCATTAAATGTTCCACCATTAAAAGGGTAATTTTTCATGAGCACATCTTGAGCGAGGTCTCAGATATATAAGTTAAGAAATAAATAACAGATATCAGAGCCATAAGGCTATTCCTTCAGAGGCACATATGACTTGAAGGTGTTGAAGGGAGGGTCAGTCTTCACGCATTCGAAGTCATCGTGAATCCCCAGCCTAGTCTGCTGAAAGTACCATTGACCCTCTGTTTTAGGATGGACAAGAGAAAGCTCATTTGTTTAATGAAAATCATCTATTACAAGCATTTATGATATCAGTCACTGTGCCAGAAGTTTTACATGCAATCTTTTATTTAATCTTCACATCTGCTCTTTGAATTTGTCTCTATCATGAGCCCTATTTTATAGCAGATGACACCAATGCCCAAAGCCAAGGGCATTGCCAGAATTTTTTTAGGTAACAGCTTTGTTGGGATTTAATTCCTATAGCATTCAATTCACCATTTTAAAGTATGCAGTTCAGTGGTTTTAGTACATTCATAGTTAGACAACCATCACTGGTAGCTAATTTCATAACATTTTCATCAACCCAGAAGGAAACCTTGTGCTTGTTAGCAGTTATTCCCTATCTTCCCCAAACCCATAAGCCCTAGGAAATCACTAATCTACTTTCTGTCTCTATGGACTTGCCTGTTCTGGAGGCAATTATATTTCACACAAACGGGATCATATAATATGTGGTCTTTTGTGACTGGCTTCCTTCACTTAGCATCACATTTTCAAGATCATTCCACCTAATAGTATGTATCATTATTTTGTCTTTTTCTTTCTGAATAATATTCCATTGTAAGGATATACCACAACAGTTGGTGGACATTTGGCTTTTATTTCTTTGGTATTATGAATAATATGAAAATGAACTATTTTTGTACCAGTTTTTATATAGTCATATTTTTCAATTCTCTTGGGATTATACCTAGGAGGGAAATTGCTGGGTCATACAGTAACTCTGTTAAACTTTTTGAAGAACTATCAAACTGTTTTTCCAAAGTGGTTCTACCAGTTAAAAATCTCACAAAGTATGAGGGTTCCAATTTCTCCACCAGCTCTTCTTGCCAACATCTCTTATTGTCACTGCTTTTTAGTCATCCCAGTAGGGGTTTAATGATCTCTCACCATGGTTGTGTTTTGCACTGTCTGCAGGACTAGTGATGTTGAGCATCTTTTCATGTGTTCATTGCCCATTTGCCTATCCACTTTGGTGAAATGCCTATTCAAACATGATAGGCTGAATTTGATCCCATGTCTTATGCAAAATGTCATGCTTTTAACCATTAGGCTATGGGGCCTCCTGTGACCTGTCATAGCACTAACTACTTCTCACTCTGTGCCACAGTTCCTTGAGTAGATGCCATATGGAACCTGTTGTAAATTGCAAGACAGCTTACCACTAAGACAAGCACAAGTACATACACCTGGCCCGATATTCTCATATCTTGTCCTATTTAATCTTCTAAGGTTACTGGAAGGAGGTGCCATCATCATTCAAGAGGAAGAAACCAAATCCAAAAAGGTAACTAAAGTTATTTCAGTTAGGGCTCAGATCCTCATCCTGTTGTACTCTGAGGCCTGAGCTCCTCCATGGGGAGCCCGAGCTCTGGATTCAGATAACTTGAGTTCAAGTCCCAGCTCTTCCACCCCTGCCGTAATTGCGTTACCTTAGGTAAGCTCCTTCGCATGACTTCCATGGCATCTTTCTCTGTTCAGTGGAGAAAAGAACAGCTGCTCCCATAGAGGGTCACTGTGTAGGTCAACGAAACGCCACACAGACAGTGTGCAGGAGAGTGAGGAGCAAACAGTAAGGGCCAATCAATGTTGGCTGCTGCTCTCGAGGTG